AATTCTCTCCTATTAAAAAAAAATGCTTGAAGTAGCTACTTGGAAGTTTAGTGTGCAAGCCAGAATTTGACAGGTGAGCTCCAAGGAACAGGACAAACTGAGATCAGTCCCCATAGATCTTTTCCTTGGGGCTATTCATTTTTCTCCATGAAAGGATTCTCCAATTTCATACTTGGGGAGCATCAGCCTCACTGCCGGTATCCCAGAGCTTGGAGTTTTACTTGTAAGGATAAGAACTTTTATGAAATCCTTATGCTTTCATCTCAGAGACCCAGTCTCTGGCTCCACTTTGACTGCTGTCTTTTGGGTTACACTGTGGAGGCTTACAGGTTTAAGTCTTCACAAACCATTCTTTGTGGTGTAAAAGCATGATCTCTAAATGCAGATCACCTAGGTACCAACTATAGCTGGGGAACCTTGGGCATGTTGCTCAACCTTTCTGCGCCTCAGTTTCCTCATTTATAAAGTGAACGTCAGTTTGGTGCTCATTTGACTCTCCTCCCGAATTTCTTGTCATGAGTCTTGTGCTCCTGGACTTATCTGTTGGACAAATAGGTCCTTATTCTCAGTGGTACCTGAACATCGATCCTATACTTTTCTGGGACTGGCCATAATTTCTTACCCCAAACCATTGGGGCCAGATCTGTCTCACAGTCAGAAATGTTCAGATTTTGTAAAGAAAATACATACACTACGCATCGTAAAATATACCCAGGGTCAGCTAGGACAGCATCTTGAGAATGTTTACATTCCTACAGTGAAGGTGGGAATATTAACGCTGTTAGATTATATGGGGACTAGACAAAAGCCCCAGGTTTGTTCAGGTCAAGTCTGGCCACCAACTGACCTTCATCTGCAATTCTGAAATCCTCAGAAAACCCTGAAAAGTGAAAGTGCACATAAGGGATTGTGAAGCTGTATTTATACTTTCCAGAGGATATTTTTCTCTCTAACACTTTTCCCCACTCACATACAAAAATACAATGCCATTAGGAGTATCAATAAACTTCTTTAAAATACTTCTATAGGAATTTTTACTTTGTTATTAAGATGGCAGAATGTGAGACATATTTGGATGTGTTGCTATTAGTAATTAAATAATAGCAGAGTATAGTAGTTTAATAAATAAGTCTTTTCAAGAAAAAAGATCTATGAAAGGAGATAATTTGAAGTAAGAAAACTAAAAGTAATCTGGAAATTTCCTTATTGTAAGTTTCAGGTCCAAATAAGATTAAACTGGAGGACTTAATTTATGTTCCAGAAATAATCAATGGCCCAGTTATTCAGGCACAGAGTTTCCAAACTATGCGTTATGGAAGCTGTTAAGATATCAAATTGGGACATATTTATATTCATTAATTCTTTTCTTAAATAGAAGAAAGTAGAAAATTAGTCACATTTTGTTTCCTTGTTGGCAGCTCCTGCAAAAGTGCCTGCTCTTGAGGTCAGTAATGAGGTTGCAACTAATGTATTAAATTAGTTTTTTTGATTAAATCATGATGTTGGTGCCCTTGATCCTTTGATACCCATTAGCAATCATAAATTAGTTATTTAAGATATGGCAAGCATAAAATTTACAGCAATATTTACTTTGTAATTAATAAAAAGAAACAATAAACAAATAGTAACCTTCCTGCATATAAATAATTGGCTCAGTCAACTGTTGGAAAGTGAGAAGCTATTAATTTGAAAAATCTGGCATCAATAAAACCTTGAAAAAATTTCAGAGAATGTATTTCTTTTAAAGCAATGCCTTGCAAGGTTTGCACATTTTCCTCTCCTTTTAAACTTTTATTTTAAAATAATTATAATTTCACAAGAAGTGTAAAAAGAGTACAGAGAGAGCTCATGTACCCTTCACCCAGTCTCCCCAAATGGTTACATCTTAAGTAACAATGGCACAACATGAAAAGCAGGAAATTGACATTACTGTAAAGTGTATGTATAGTTCTATGTCATTTTAACACATGCACAGAGTCATATAACCACTACAGCAAGCAAGGTACAAAACTATTCCATCATCACAAAATATTTCCCTTGTGCTATTGCTTTGCTTTACGGTCATATCCAACATGCCTTCTCTCTGCCATCAATAACCCCAGGCATCACTAATCTGTTCTCCATTTCTGTAATTTAGTCATTTCAAGAAGATTATACAAATGGAATCATACAGCATGTGAGTTTTGGAGATAGTCTTTTTTCCCTCAGCATAATGCCTTTGGAATCCATTCCAGTTTCTGCCATGTATCAGTAGTTCATTCCTAGATGAGTAGTGGTCCATGATATGGCTATAACACAGTTTGTTTAACCATTATTTATTGTAGGACATTTTGGTTTGACAAATAAAGTTGCTATAAACAGTCGTGTACAGATTTTTGTGTGGACATAAGTATTCATTTCTCTGCAATAAATGCCCAGAAGTGCAATTACTGGGATGTACGATAAATGTATGTTTGAGTCGTAAAGAAACTGCCAAGTTATTTTCCACAGTGACTGTACTATCTTACATTCCTACCAGCAAGGTATGAGAGATCCTCTCTGCATCCTTGCCAGTATGTAGTTTCGTACATTTTTTTTTTTAGCTGTTTTAATAGATAAAACATTACGTGTAGTGGTAGTTCGTCATGGTCTTAATTTGCATTCCTGTAATGGCTAGCAAGGTTGAACATCTTTTCGAAAGCTTATTTGCCATTCATCTTCTTCAGTGAAATGTCTACCCAAGTCTTTTACCCATATTCTAATTGGATGGCTTGGTTATTTTACTGTTGAGTTTTCGAGAATTATTTGAGTCCTTTATAAAATACATAGTTGGCAAATATTTTTACTGGTCTGGAGCACATCTTTTCATCCTCTCAACAGGGTCGTTCACAGAGCAAAGGTTTTTAAATGAAGTCTAATTTACCATTTTTTTTCTTTTATGGATTGCGCTTTATGGTCATATGTAGGAACTTTTCACCAAGCCCTAGGTCCTGAAGACTTTCTCCTACGTTTCTTTCTAAAAGACTGATTGTTTTACATTTGATATTTAAACCTATGATCTATTTTTGTTTAATTTCTGTATGAGGTACTAGATTTAGGTTGAGGTTCATTATTAATAGATTATTTGGCCTGTGGAGAGCCAACTACTTCAGTACTATTTGTTAAAAGCAGTCCTCATTCCCCCATTGCATTGCTTTTGTACCATTGTCAAAAATCAGTTGGCTTGTATGGGACTGTTTCTAGGTTCTAATTTAGCTAATTTTTTTTTCTTTTTTTGCAAAATGAGATTTTATAATCAAGATATTAAACATATCTGTGGTGGCTGAAATAATCATATGAAACTGTCTTTTATAACAAAGCTCAGAGATAATATATTTTATTCCACAAATAGTTTTTCATGAGTAAAACAAGATTCTGATAATGTTGCCATGTTACAGTAACACTTTTAGGCTTAGCACGGCTATACAGCAGCTTACTAGTTATCTTGATGTGGTTTTGCTATTAATATTAAATAATGTTTACAGAAAATAGCAGATATGAAAAGTACACCAGTGTAATATTTCTCTTCTTCCTGGATATGACCCAATTTACAAATGCATTTTATAAAACTGTAAATCAAAGGGCTTATGAATATTCTATGTAATAATTTAGTAACAGCAGTCCCAATAAAATAGAAACATTAAAAAGGCCATGCAGATATCTGACATCTATATTTGATACCTATATAAAAAGTGGGGAAAATTCTAGAATATTTTTGTTAACAGAAACTTTCATAGGGAAATAAGAGTTTGAAATAAAATACCTTTACCTTTGAAATAAGTCAAAGGTAAATGTATCAGAAATTTCTGGAGAAAGTAACCATAACTTCAAAATAATAAACTTAAAATGGGTTTATTTCTTATTAAAATAAAAAAATAAATTTTAAGTGAAGCTAAAACATTTTTATCTTTTGTTATAAGAAGGGAATATTTAGTAGACTTATTTATTTGTGATGATACACATGAGATGAATTAAAGCAATGATAAAAATCCTATTCCAACTATAGGGCTGAAAGTCGACTACATACATGAGAATAAATCTTGACAAAATTGTATATCAGACCATCCTATTTCCTCAGTAATTCATTCTTTTGGCCAATTCATTAAAATATTATAATACCCTTGAATACAATATTTTATTATAAAATCATTGGCAATTTTAGTAACACTTTGACTTGCTTAACTTAAAAATAATGCATTTTCTTCTCTGTTGCTTAAATAATTACAGAAAATAATAGAAAAACAAACTCAATGGAGTATAATTTTCAGTATTAACAGTACTTATATGAATCATAAGATCTCAGAACTATCTCTATTTCTTTTTTTATCTCTATGAATCTGGTTACATGTACATCTATGTATATGTGTATCAAATAAGAAGACTATAATTTTGAATAGTTAAATTGTTATTACATATTGTTACTACTGCAAGTGTAAAATGCTTAGGAGAGTAGGAACACCAATCCATGTAATTTTTCCAGTAAGTCTACATTACTTGCAAAAAAACAAATTCTGTAAAATTCTTAATAACTTCACTCAACATATCCTCTTTCTTGGAGCTTCAGAGATAACTTCTTTCTGTTAGCCTCATGATAATAAAACTAGAAACTAATATCTCTTTGAATGAATAAATTTACATGATTTATTGACTCAAGCCCCATGACAGAGACAATTGTGTACTCCAATATTCATTTTCTACATTTTCCTTGATACAAGAAGTCTGAGGGTTGACTAAAATAAAGACTACATCTTTCCCTCCCTCCCTCCCTCCCTCCCTCCCTCCCTCCCTCCCTCCCTTCCACCCTTCCTGCCTTCCTTCCTTTCTTTCAGACAAGGTCTAACCGCGTCACACAGGCTGGAGTGCAGTGGCTCACTGAAGTCTCAACCTCTGGGCTCAAGTGATTCTCCCACCTCAGCCTCCCCAGTAGCTGGCACTATGGGCACACGTCATCATGGCCAGCTAATTTTGTAATTTGTCTAGAGACAGGATTTCGCCATGTTGCCAGCTGGTCTCCAACTCCTGAGGTAAAGCAATCTGCCTGCCTCAGCCTCCCAAAGTGCTGGGATTGCAGACATAGCCACTATGCCTGGCCAATACTACATCTTCCAGGTAGCCTTACAGCTAGTGGTGTTTTTTTTTTTTTTTTTTTTTTACATGATAAGTTTTGGAAAATACGTTGTAATAAAATATTTTGTGTCAATTCTCAGAAAATCTCCTTAAAAGATGGCTGGAATGGGATTTTTCTCCCATTTTCTATCTTACCTTCCTTTCGGCTTTCTGAAATAGGAGTGTAATGGCTGAGCTCTAGTCTCCAAGGTAGACCATGAAGACAAGAGCCATATCCTAGGGATGGAAGAGGTATGAGTTTGATGGAGTTTGTATCTCTAATAACAACAGGGAGATGCTATATCAACTCCCATTTCCTTTGCCTGAGAAACAAACTAGTTTAAAAAAATTATTAAAGTCTCTGTTATTCTAGTTTGAGTGAGAACACGTGTCTGTGTGATATGCTGCCCAACTGAATCTTACCTAATACAACTCCTTTGCCAAAATTGCTATACAGTTTAAACGAAAACAAATATTTAATGTGGAAATGACAGTTTTAAGGAGCATACAGGTACACTGCCATACTCCTTTGCCAAAATTGCTATACCATCTAAACCAAAACAAATATTTAATGTGGAAATGGCAGTTTTAAGGAATATACAGGTACACTGGGATCCTGTAGAAAAGTTCTAAAAATGCATATCAGAACCAGGAAAGAAAGAGACTGCATTCAATTTCATTAATTGGGATTGTTCTTCATATCTTATGTAGAATTAAATTTTATGGCTCAGTGAGAGATCTTCAAGAAATCTATACATTACTTTGATGTCAAAGTAGTATACAAAATGAGACTAAAAAGTGGCCTTGAATATGTTGTAGATTGTAGCACAACCTACAGAATAACACTTTATCCCTAGAGTTCAACGGTAAATGCTTTGATGGATGAACAACAAGTACCCTTTAAGAACTGCCTGGTTTGCACTTATTTGCACTGACCGAATTTTCTGAACAAGTGCCCAATTCCTACCTGATTTTGTGCCAATATAGATTTAATGAGAGTCAAATACATATGATTCAAAAATGGTCATATTAAAAAATCAAACATGATTTTTCAGTTTTCTATAAGGTTTGATACACACGCATACACATATTGTTTGTATACATATATATTATATATATAAGATATATATTTAACTGTGTGGATACCAAATGTCATTATTTGGTTAGTTGTCAGTACAGCTTTGAGACTGCACAACACAGCATACCACATGTCACAATCTAAATGCAGTAAATCATAGTTACAGAAGTTTCTAAAACATTTTAATGATATGTACATGAAAGTGATTCATTTAACTGTTTATTTAACAGCAATATTTGGAAAAGCAGTACTGACTCAGTAGTACTGAAATAGGTATAATTGTATCCCTGATAACAACATGGGGATGCTATACCAACTCCGGTTTCCTTTGCATGAGGGAGAAACAAACTCGTTTTTGAAAAACAAAGCACCTTATATGTTTGATTTATCCCTCAATCATTTTGCCTACAATTCTAAATGACTACCACTGGATAGCAACATTCACGACTTCGCTCATTATATATATATTGAGCGGCTGGGGGCAGTGGCTCACACCTGTACTCCCAGCACTTTGGGAGGCTGACGAGTGCTGATCCCTTAAGCCAGGAGTTCAACACAAGCCTGGCCAACGTGGTGAAACCCTGCCTCCACAAAAAATACAAAAATCAGCCAGTGTGTGACACACACCTGTAGTCTCATCTACTTGATAGGATGAGGCACAAGAATTGCTTGAACCCGGGAGGCAGAGGTTGCAGTGAGCCAAGATCGCCTCACTGCACTCCAACCTGGGTGACAGAATGAGACTCTATCTCAAAAAAATAAAAAGGAAAAAAAGAAATATATTGAGCATCAGTATGTGCTGGCAGTATTCTGCATACTACGATACAAAGTTGAATGATACATAATACTTTAAGGATTTTAGAGCCATGCACTAGACAGTAAACAAAGAGATTTTGAAGGTCAACTATCTCCAGGCATAGAAGACTATGACAAGACAACAATGAAATTATTTGATCATACTCAGCAAAAGAGAATTGGTTTTCTTTTTAAAGTATAAATATAATACACTAAAGAGAGTAGTAATACTTTCTTAATGCTTTTTCTTGGTTACATGTAACAGGTTTTTGAACCAGAGAGTACTTTAGGGACACTGAATACAACTCACATGTTTTGATGGTAACAAAACCAAGTATGTGAGGAGCTAAAATAAAATAGTTGCCAAAGTTCTTCCAGCTAGTTTTGTGCTACAGTTAAAACTGGAGCTTGGCAGTCCTAATTTCCACCACAGAGCTGAGTAGATTGCAATGGCCTGCCTTGCTCTCATTTTCTTATCCACTCAACAAATGCTGTGGAGTGCCAGACACTCTACTAAGCACTAGGCATGTGAAGATGAAAAAATTCTACTTGGGAAGTAGAGAAAGAGAGGAGAAAATAATTTCTGGAATGTCTGTGAAATTTAAGCTCTAAGACCTGATGACTGATCCAACGGGGCAGTGAGTGAAAGGCAAGAGTGTAAGAATGCCTTCCCTATGGGTGATTGCATTCTGCCACACAATACAGTCTATCAAAATGTGTTGAAAAGAAAAATATGAAACTTGCAATTACAGACTAGAGTCAAATAGACACAACCACTGCACACAGGCTTTCCTGCCTTTCTCATTCCAAACCTGAAAAATCCTCAATTGCTTCTAGATACAATACTCTCATTTACAATGCATTGGCATGGTTCACCCTTTTGAAGTAACCTTTGCCAAAACTTCCCACTAAGCTAATTACCTTAACTTGCTTATGATGATTACTTTAGACAGGACTTTCTTCTTTTTCTTTCTTTACCTTTTTGTCATGCTTTGAGTGGAAAAAAAAAAGTTACAAACTAGTTTTTTAATAGTGACTACAAGGATTTCTATTGAAAGTCCATTTGTTGAGATTTAAGACCTGAGAGCATATAAGACTTAAAAGATTGAATGTGATTATGGAAATTCAGAGCTAATACTCTTTCATTTCCATTGATCAAAGATGGAGAGTTTCAAATAAATACGGAGGCTCACGCAGTCAATGACCTGGCAGAACAGCATCTACTTTTTGGGGGCAGTTGGATATTTAAAGATTTAATAAGGTTCTAATAAAACTCGGGTTGATACTGGAGATTGTAAACCTTTCCAAAGTAACTGCTGAAGAAGGTATCAAACTGTGATGGCATAGTAGACCCCGGACAATGAGTCCACGTGCCTAACCCAGTGTCTTCTCCTGTGGCTCTACTGATTGCTTTTGTCTACACACTACAAGCTGGCCTGCCCACCCAGGCCACTGTGATCCTTTGCCTGGGTCCTCACAAGTTCCCATTCTCTGCTGAGATAAGCCTGTGATTGATTGCTGTCTGCCAGGGAGATCTCCTGTTCTGGGGCTGTCAGTGATTTGCCTGGTTCTGACATTATCTGCATACAACTCTCACAAGCCTGAGGCTGCCCAGACCCAACAGTTCCTGCCCAGTCACACCTCCTCAAATGTCTTGCTCACAACCTCACCTTTATCAGCCTGATGTGATTGATTGGCGCTGTCATACTTTGGCTTCCTTTTAGGGTCTAGCTTCATGCTCATTAAAATTCACAAGCAACCTATTTTCATCCTAGCATCAATATCATTCTCTTTCACTATAGATGCTGCTAATACACAGCTCCAAATAGTTTCTGAGTTTTATGTCTATCCATTAGATCTCAATCTCATCTTATTCCAGTAGATACAATCCCAGAGAAGGAACGTGATTGGCCTAGCTAGAGTTGGGGACCTACCTTTATATCAATTCACGTGGCCAAGGCCAGAGATACTGTAATTGGCCTAGCTTTAATTAGATACTGGTCCCTAGACCTGTTATTTGTAACCACTGAGAAAGACATGAAGGAAATAGAGGTGCTCAATTTAGTAGCAGAGGCAGGGGAATTGGCAAACAATGACACAGACATTCATACACACTGCAGCTTTGTATGGTTGGCATTATTAGAATTCTAGGTTCAAGTTTGAGTCTACAGATGTGAGCTAGAATTATAAAGAATGAATGACAGAGACAAATGCCCCCAAATCTCAGTTCCATTTATCTTTCATCTAAACATGTAAGTGGTACCACAAAGTCCTGGGCAAGTTTGCAGGAGTGAGGCTATGAGGAGTTCTAGTGGCCATCTGTTCTGGCAGGTCATATTTCAAAAAAAAAAAAAATTAATCTCAAGGTCAAAGAGAATAATAAATTATGCCTCATGAAACAATTTTAAAAATCTCTAGCTGGAAATTTAAGGAAGACAAAGACTGGGAAAGACACATGCATATGCATGTAATTACAATGCATAGGATTAAATGCAAATGGGGAAGTGCAAACTAGGTTCTATGACAGCAGACAGTACAGCATCTATCAAATGTGTTAGCATGTGTGACAGTGTGTGTGAGTAGAGATTGGTTGTGTGAGAGAGAGGTTGTGTGTATATGCATGTGATTGGGAGTTAACCCTTTCTGAATCCTAAAGCGTTGACGAAATTAGAGCAGAAGCACAGTGCAGATCAAAAAAACACAGAAATGCCATAGGAATGTAATATATCATGATGTGCTTAAGGGACCATGAAAAGTTGACAGTTGCTGGAATAAAAAAGAGAGGTAAGGCTGGAGAATAAGCAGAGGTTTGGGTGGGGTCTTCTAGATAAGGAATGTCTTTAATGATACTGTAAAGAACCTGAACTTTTTATTGGAGTTCATGGGAAAACAAGTGAAATGGTCTAAACATGGATAAGTTTAAGGGTAAAATGGAGAGTGGATTTGATGGGTACCAGACTATATCCAGGCATTCTAATTAAAACACTGTTTTAAATATCTGGACAAAAGATGGTAAAATACTTAACTTGGCAATGGCAGTTGGACAGGAAAGAAGGTGGGGAGAAAAGAATTCAGGAAAAACCATTGAAGGTAAAGTTAGTTGTGTCTTAAAGTTATCAAGTTCAAACTCTTAAAGGACTATTATAACTCTATCCTATCCCAAGTCACCCAAAGCTATTGGACACTCCTAGTATTTAAAAGTCACTAAGTCTGGAGGAAGTTTATTCCATTGTGGAATAATACCCTGAATGTGTGTGACATTTTAAGGTAAATTTGGTCTACTAGATCTCTTACTGCTCCCAAAGGAGTGACCTCTGGAGAGGGAAGGTTCTGACACCTTGTAGGAAAGAAGGGATGGATCAGGCCTGGAAAGGTATCACAAGGAGTGCAGGAGATAAACTTTGCTTACTGTTGTTGCTTACTGGTCTGACTTTAACCACCTTTGTTTTCCAAAGATGAACATGTTTGTAAAAGGCATATCTAGTCTTTAATACTGCATTACACAAACTTTTAGCATAATGAGCATGCACAGATAGGAAGTTTGCTTTACTTGTCCTATCAATGGACTCTTAATTGTCCTTTTCTGAAACTAATGTTCTTAAACTTCTGTTAAACATAAATTAAAAATAACAATCTTTGAGTTATTCTTAGATTACTTCCTGCAGTCTGATCTTTCCATCCAGGTCTTTGTGCAGTTGGAATCTAATTGGATCAGACAATGCTCAAGGTTCCCTCCAGCTCCCTAGTACCACAGCTAATTAGCAGAAATTCTACTTTAATAATACAGTTGCTGCAGGTCAAGAAAGAAAAGCAAAGCAGAAATGGAAATCTCAGCTTAGAGAACATTGAAAAAAGATTAGAAGTGAGTTAATTTTTGGTGTGATAATTAATTACAGTCCAACAAGAACAAAATTCTATGAATATTGACTAGCTGTAATTAATCCATATTTATTCACAGACTTATCTCCCCCAACATCACCTACAATTCTGAGGGGGGAGAAACAGAATATCTTCTTCCAAGAATTCTTATGTATTGCCAAGATAAGCAACAATCTCAAGTCTGTGGAGACGTAATAATCATCAAGGTAATATTAAATAATATAAGTAATTATAACTGCATGTACTCATTCATATTATCTAGCTAAATTTTAATTACTTATTTCTAATTTGGAAAGATATACCTTTGTCTCAAAAACCTTGGCAAAAGAGGGCTACACCAGGACACTGTAGTTGGTATGGAAGATATCTTACGTGATTTTTTTTTTTTCCCTTAAAAGGGTAACAGTTTCAGAATATGTTATGCATGTATACACGAACTGGGACTCCACATTGTGCCTCATAAATATATGTAATTACTATTTGTCAATTTTAAAAGGAGAACAAAAAAAGGTTTAAAAATCAGATGTATTTTTAGAAGCAGTTCTTATAATGTGTTTGAATGTTTCACTGTATTCTTTGAAATTCCCATAGGCCAAGGTGCTACTTACTCTTGTAAGAGTAACGTGTTACAGGGAACTTACCAGAGAGGAGATTTACGCCAGGGTTGAGCCATGGGAGTGATGGTTCTTACACCACAACTTTGTTTCTTTTCTATGTTCCAGAAGTCAGACAAACTGAATTTTGTTTCATGTACCAGGACAGGCAGAAGGAATGAGGAACAGCCTGAGAAATGAATGTTTTTCTACCAGAGGAGCAGAAAGTTAGTCAATATAAGCTGTGTAGACTTGGAGAACTAGGCAACCTGCAGTTATTCACATAACTTATATTGCCTATGTTGACAGGCAGAATAAGGAGAATTACAGTCTGGGCTATTACTTCAGATAGAGATTCTTCTGATCACATTAATGCAGATTGGGCGGAGAGAGGTAGATTTAACAGCAACAGGAGTTAAGGAGTAATAATCTTTGGGTCCACAGATCCATCTAAATCAAGTGAGTGCTAGCAGCAGGCTTGCAACAGTTAAGACTTGCCAATTATCTGCGCGAGGCTCCATTTCCCAGCTTCCCATGCATCTCAGAAGGGCCACGTAACTAACTTTCCCCGACAGACTTAAAGGAAGTGATGTTTACTTCCTGTCACTTCAGTAAAGTCACGTTTACTTCCTGTCACCTCCAACTGCATTGGAGCATTGTGTAACTGGGCATTGTGTGATCCAGTTAGACGCCAACTGCACAAAGACCTATTTCCACTTCAACCCCTGTGCTCCTGGAGCAGGTCTGCGTGATTGGGAGCAAAGGATTCTGGGAGGGCCAAAACACAATATGGAAGGAGGCGGAATCACACAGTCTTAACTTGAGGGAGAGCCATACGGGTGAACTGTTGACGTGATCAAGAAGTGAAGAGTATTGGGCTAAGCCACAGAGATTTCAGGGTTTATTTGTTTCAGCAGCATAATCTACTTCACAATTAAAAGAAGAGGATGTGGATTCCAGAATCTTGTTATCAAAATGGGATATCAAAGGGGTTTAAATTAAGGAAACAAAATGGAAGCATTACTGTGGTGAATCCCTGGAAATACCACATTAGAAGGCAGATGAAACTTCCAAGGACTTGGGTGTGGCTGTTAGACTTCCCCAGTTATTTAGCTGAATGGGCAGGGCAGGGCACCGGATTTGGTAAAGAATTTGAGGGCCAAACCCATTTTGTCTTGGAGTGAAGGCTGTGATCCTCAACTCTGGCTTCAAGTTAGGTTTCAGTTAAATCACAAAAATGCTGATGTCTGGGCCTTAAGCCAAATCAATTAAATCAGAATCTCTGGAGATGAGATCAAGATACTGTTATATTTTTAAAGGTACCCTAGTAGTGCTAATACATAGTTAGATTGGGAATCTCTGAGTTGATGTAACTAGAGGCAAATATTTTCACCAAGGAGTCTGAAGCTGCTTAAGAGCTTTGTCTCAATAGAAATTTGTTTAGGAAGCCTGGGACAGAGCCCAAGGGAAAGAAATATCAGGTAGATTCAGATGTGTGGAACTGGAAAAGAAGAATATTTTAGCATCAATGTCTCAAGAACAAAAGAGATAGTGACTTAAGTTGAAGTATTTCCATCAACAGAGATTATATAAAAGAAATACTGTTAATGAATATTACTATTATTTTCTTCTCAGTCTACTAAATGCATTTAAAATATGGGAAGAAATTATGGAAGTACAAAATGAATATTTAACATAGATTCATTTTTTTTCTGGTAAATATACAAAACTAGTAAACATTAACAAAATGTTATAGAAATAAGATGCTGAACAGTCTTTTCTGTTTATATATAGCCGTTGAAGGATATGTTTGATTATATGAAAATAGACAGGTCAGTGCATCCCCAATGGGGAGAATAGTCTAGCAAGCTAGAAATTTCCAAATTTGTGTAGACCCAGATAAATAGAATATTTATTGATATTTATCCAATATTTATAGAATATTTATGCAATATCCTATTGCTGATCTAACCCGCATTCAGCAAGGAAGATCAGTTTCCCACCAGATGTGGGTGAATCTTAATGGAAAGGTATACATTAATTTCATTCAGTCATTTATAACTTTTACTAAAAAATTTTCCTTGTTTTTGGAACACTAACATCTAGTAGGATGACAAACTTGAAAATATCTGCTGGTAATGAAAGATATTTATTGAACAGTAACTTATTATTTAGTTTTAACAATTTAAAAAGGTTACCAAACAACACACAACTTTGCCACACTAAGTTGCACTTGTGCCAAAGTTTAAAAATTTTCTTTACTTGGAATCAAGGTCAACTTTCTAGTAACTTTGTTCCTTAAAACATCCTCATATTTGGTCAGATTTAATTCGAAAAGGGACCCTTTCCTATTAATGTACCCTCAGCAGGAAATCCAGATCATAAAAATTCCAGGGAACAACATCCATAACTTGTTTTATAGAAACAGTTTTGGATTATGCCAATCAATTCACCAGTCCATGATTTCAAAGATTGTTTCATCAATCTTGTATCATTCATGTCATAGAACATAAAATAAGCCTTTTAACAAGAATTTGGATTTGATTCCACAAGAAAGACAAGGTCATTTTTAAAAAGCAAATCAGCTAGCAAGAGTGCTATGAGAAGAATGCCTACAAAGAAAAATGGCTATAGAGCCTTCAGCCCTATTCCATAAATCTTGACTTTCATTTTTCCCTTCTGCGTCTAGGAGATAGTTTGCTTCTTATATTGTTCCCTAAGGGAAGTTCCAGTACCACATGGGGCTAAGAAATATAATTTACTCTTTTACTATTTGAAATTCAAGTTATTAAAGTACCATGGACTCAGTGAAGTATAACTCATATCCATATGACCCACCTTAGAAGGAGTCATACACACTGCCTCGTACAATGATATCCTAATAATGTAAAACTAACAATTTTGGGGAGACTAATCAATTTAGAATCAAAGCCCCTCTATTATGTTGCAAAATGCTTACAGAATGCACATTCTTTTCTACATTGAAAGACAAGTGACCATTTCCCTTCAGCAGACTTGTAAGATCAATATGTATAAATATTGATCTTATGCCCTCTATTGAATTAAAGTTTGAACTATGTGTCTTATTCAGGTGACATATTTCATTTGTGTCATATGTTTTTATTTGGTTTGAAATTTCAAGAAGCTAAATTTGGTGTCAGCTTTCCAAGATTTCTACCTTTTACATTTGCTAAGTTCTTGCAAAAGAGTAAGGAACACATCTCTTCATATATTCACTTACTACAGATGAAGTACCTAGTCAGTATTTTTCTCGGAGCTGTGGATTCAACAGTGATCTAGAAGGTGTCATATTTGGCCTCTCCCAGGAAGAAAGACAGATAACAAAAATGACATCTTATTTGAAGGCCCTATAGCCATTTTTCTTTGTTGGCATGCTTCTCATAGCATTCTTGCTAGCAGATTTGCTTTTTAAAAATGACCTTGTCTTTCTTATAGAATCAAATCCAAATTGTAAAGATGTTAAGGAAGAAGTAATTAAAATGATATTTGAAAGATCAGTTAGTCAAGGAAGAAGAGAAAGAGTATTCAAGGAGAGGAAACAACTAGTAGGAAGGCAAAATAGCACAGGCCTGTTTTAAGAGAGAAAAGTTGAAGACAGCAAGTTCTGTATTCAGCTTTGGCGGTAGAAGGGTGTTTGACTAATGTGCTTGGAGAATGTGTGAATGTGCTTGGAGAATTAAGTCTAGCTTATGAAGGGTCTTATGAGCCATGCTAACATGAAAACTGGAACATAAGAATAACAGTGGCAAGAGTAGAGCTGTTGTATTAGTCTATTCTCACGCTGCAATACCGACATACCCAAGACTGGGTAATTTATAAAGCAAAAAGGTTTAATTGACTCACACTTCTGCATGACTGGGGAGGCCTCAGGAAATTTACAATCATGGGGAAGGGGCAGCAAACACGTCCTTTTTCACATGGCGGCAGGAGACAGAAGTGCTGAGCAAAGAGGGAAAATCCCCTTATAAAACCCTCAGATCTTATGACAACTCACTCATTATCACGAGAACAGCATGGGAGTAACTGCCCCCCAAATTTAATCACCTCCCACTGGGTCCCACCCACAACACATGGGGATTATGGGAACTACAATTCAAGATGAGATTTGGGTGGGGACACAGTGAAACTATATCAGGTGTGTTTCAAAATGATATTCGTAGAATGAAAAATAGATAATGAACGTCAAGAATGGAGACAGGGACACCAATTGGGAGGCTGCTATGGTAACTGATGTGAGGAAAGGAATGGTCCCCAAAAAGATATGTCCGTGTCCTAATTCCCAGAACCTGTAAATGTTAACCATATTTGGAAAGAGTCTTTGCAGGTGTAATTATATTGAGAATCTTGAGGTGTAGGGTTCATACTGGATTACCTGGGTTGGCACTAAATACAATGATGAGTATTTTTGTAAGAGATACACGGGCGAGATGTGACAGACAGAAAAAGAGAAGGCCATGTGACTGTAGAGGCAGAGATTTCAGCATGAGCTGAGGAATGTTGACAGCACCAGAAACTGGGAGAGGTAAGGAAGGTTTTTCCTCTAGTGATTCCAGAGGAAGTATGACTGTGCTGACACATTATTTTCAGACTTCTGGTCCCCAGAATGTCAAGAGAACAAATTTCTGTTGTTTTAAGTTAAAATTTTTTGGTAATTTGTTATGGCAGCCACAGGTAACTAATACAGCAAGGCAAAAGCAAAACACAGTCAGAAGGAAAGGAGAAAACCTGGTGCATTTGGGTCACTGCACAAGTCCAGTAGTGCAGGACCTAACAATATTTGTGAGTGAGAAGCTAGAAATGAGGTTGGACAGTGAAGCAGGAGGTTATGTTTGTGGAAGACTGCTGGGTCTGAATGCACATGGAATGCCAGAAGATCAGTGAGTGGATCAGACTAGCTGGAGGAGGATTACATTTTTGAGCAGTGGAAAGGAAAACTGGGAAGGGAAAGGGAGGAGCAATGAACAGAACACTTTTTTTTTTTTTTTTTTTTTTCAGAGAAGGGATCTATGGTAGTGCGGGGAGAGAACTGGAAAGGGCTTGTGTGGGGAAGTTTATACCCCACCCAAAATAGGGCAATGTCTTAGTTACCTTGGGCTGCTATGACAAATACCACAGGCTAGGTGGTTCAAACAATAGAAATTTGTTTCTCATAGTTCTGGAGGCTGGGAAGTCCAAGACCAAGGTGCTGGCAAATTTGGTTCTTGGTGAGGACCTACTTTCTGGCCACCATCTTGCCGTGTCTTCACATGGCAGAGAAGAAGCTTTGGTGGTTCTTCCTCTTTTTATAAGGATCCTAATCACATCATGGTGGGGGATCCACCCTCCTAACCTCATCTGAACCTTATTCTCTGTTAAAGTCCCCATCATCCTAATGCCATCATTTGGGGGATTAGGGCTGCAATATATGAATTTTATGGTGGCACAAACATTGAGTCCATAACAGGCAAGAAATTAAACTATCCATGCATCAGATGTGGGCCACATAGGATAGAGGATCAGCTTGGAGCTCTTCTAGGTCCTGAAAGTACCCCCTGGAAGGGCAATGGGCTACAACAGGAGAGTCTGAGTCTTTGTGGAGCGGATGATGGAAGGCCAGGAATTGGTGCAAGGAGGAAGGGAAAGCAGACACTTGTAGCAGATGCCAGCAAGGCTTCCAGGGCAGCAGGGGAGAAGCTGTGTCTAAGTACTGGAGGCTGCTATCAGAGAGGCCCAGTGACTTAGGACAGTACTTATCAGGAGCTGAACAAGAACTTTCCTCTTTTCTCTCTCCCCAACCACAGCTCCCACACTGGTGGGCCTGCACTGGGGGTGGGGAGGACTTCTGAGTGGGAAATGAGTGGGAAGAGACAGCAATTGGCCACACCCCTCTCCCCAAGGGCAGGTGACCCAGTGACTGCTGACTTCAGCTGGAAGATGGAAATAAGCCTTGCATGAAGTCTAAGATGTTTACTGACATCTTAGATTAGACGTTTAAAATTTCTGAATTAGAGTGTTTTGAGACATAGAAGACTTGAGGACTAAGAATAAGCAGGAAAGTCATAGATGTGCCAAACTTTCAGCCAGCAGAGTAGAAAGTTTCCTGTAAAACAGTAGTGGGACAGAGTTGTGTTTTGCATATCTGTTAAGCATCATAGTTGTACCATGTACCGTTTAGATTTTCAAAGAAAAGGATGGGCATTTCATCTAAGAAATCATAGTGAGTGACATATTTCCTTAGAATAAAATCAGTAAGGGCGGGCACAGTGGCTTACATCTGTAATCCCGGCACTTTGGGAGGCCAAGGTGGGCAGATCATGAAGTCAGGAGATCGAGACCATCCTGGCCAACATGGTGAAACCCCATCTCTGCTAAAAATACAAAAATTAGCTGGGCGTGGTGGCACATGCCTGTAATCCTAGCTACTTGGGAGGCTGAAGCAGGAGAATCACTTGAACCAGGGATTTGGAGGTTGCAGTGAGCCGAGATCACGCCACTGCACTCCTGCTTGGTGACAGAGCGAGACCTCATCTAAATAAATAAATAAATAAACAAATAAAATAAAATCAGTAAGATGGCGAAGGCCTGTTCTGAATAGATGCTTCCCTAGTTCTCTAGTGCTAAACTTAAGACAGACAAATCATGTTGTGCAGTGTATTTGGTTAATGTTATCACTTCTAATTCTTACAGAAGGTTGTATACAGAAATTTCTAAAGCATCACATTCACATTCCATTTGTTTTCCCTAGCCAAGAGAGGTCTGTAACATGGTAAACACAAAAGACTCAGAATTGAAACCTGGAATTGAAAAGACTTTTCTACTCCGTTCACAAGGACTTTCTTTTCCCCCTTCGTTTGCCACTTAATCTTTTGGTCTCATTTTCGTCATCTGTACAGTGAGGATTATGGGACCCAATTTCGTTTTATGTTATCTTGATGGAAGGATTCCCACAGTTAGACTGAATGAAAACCTGACCAGTAATACCCACTTACCTACCTCTCTGAAGCGTTGTAAGAATTAAAGACAGCCTGCAAAGTGTACTGACGATGAAGAGCACACCATGAGAGAAACAGAGGTGATGAGTATTATTAAAAGTGTCAAAGGATAAGTATATCTTAATGAAAGTGGACAAAAACATACACCAAAGGATCTTGGCTTGCTTGCCCTAGTGCCTCAATGACTTAGGGTAGAAAGAAATATGTATGATATCTGAGTAGAAAAATAAAAGCAGTAAAAAAAAAAAAAATCTGTCCAGGAACATTAGTACCGAAATCATTTTTACATCCTAAAATATTTCATCCTCAATTTTAAAAATAAAGCACTGATTTATGCACCTCAAGTCTAATGAAATAAAGCAATATGTCTTGGAAATTTAGAACAGTCTATATAGGAAGGCAAAGGACTAAAGACAAAGATGTTCAGAAATTGAGTCAAGCCAAACAGACCAAAGATATTCTGCTCCCCAATGCAAAAGGCAGCATGGGCAGAATTTATTTGCTATGTATAGAATTGAGAACTGCTTTTTTTTTTTTTTTGATCTTGCAAAGGAGATGAAATGGATATATTTATGTTGCTTGCTTAGGAGGACAGTCAGGGAGCGGGCAAAAATGTATAGCAAATTTGACACGAAAAGTAATAATTACTTCGGTTAGTTACATTTACAAAGCAATAAGAGAAGAATAAGTCACTTATGAAGTTAAATAAATTTGAAGAAAATTAAGGTAATTGTTTCCTTCCTGTACACAAATTCTTTCAGGCTGTGAACTCTCCAGCAAGTAAATAATAAATTATTTTGGCTTTTACAATTTATCTTGGTCTTGACGCACACAAGGGCAAGATATGACGGTGTCTGTTTCTTCCAGAGGACTCCGATTCTTTGCATATATAAGCAGGTGTCCATAAGTCTCATTCTATAATATGTTTAGCTCCGCATATATTTTCTGTTTTCTGTTGTTGGTCTCTATGTTGTAATATGCCAGTGAGCTAATGTTGGAGAAGAGACTTTTTTAAAGATCTCTTATCTTTCATACCATATGTGAAACAGGTGGTAGTCTGCTCTCATAGATGAATATTTCTGTGATGAATCTTTTTTCTTTTTATTTCTTATTCACATGAGCTAATTTATTTTTGCCCAAGTGTTTACATTCTGCGCTATAGATGTGGTCTGAGTGTATTTGCTGTAGTCAGAAGTCTCTGTTTTATGCTTGATTTTGGAGCTAGGTGGGACAAGGAAAATGCAAGTAGATGGAACTCATGCAAGTAGATGGAACCTTAATCTTATCATTTCTTTTTCACAAGAGGCTCAATTTTAGGGCTGTGCTGTAGTCCACAAAACAATCAGTCTCTATGACAATAATTCTAATTTTGGTAGAATAATTTTAACACCACTAAAAGAACTTGGAGAGACTTCATTTATGGAGGACATTAGTGAGATAATTTGGAACCTGTTCCTGAGTGGGGGACATACTTGCAAATATTTAAATCCTGCCTTCTTTAGTCACCTGTTTCATTCTTTAAAAAAAGAAAATAGTGCTCTTCCGGGGACGTTGTCTGCAGGCACTCAGAATGGTCCAGCGTTTGACATACCGACGTAGGCTTTCCTACAATACAGCCTCTAGCAAAACTAGGCTGTCCCGAACCCCTGGTAATAGAATTGTTGACCTTTATACCAAGAAGGTTGGGAAAGCACCAAAATCTGCATGTGGTGTGTGCCCAGGCAGGCTTCGAGGGGTTCGTGCTGTAAGACCTAAAGTTCTTATGAGATTGTCCAAAACAAAGAAACATGTCAGCAGGGCCTATGGTGGTTCCATGTGTGCTAAATGTGTTTGTGACAGGATCAAGCGTGCTTTCTGTATCGAGGAGCAGAAAATCGTTGTGAAAGTGTTGAAGGCACAAGCACAGAGTCAGAAAGCTAAATAAAAAATGAAACTTTTTTGAGTAATAAAAATGAAAAGACTTGCTGAAAAAAAAAGAAAATAGAAATTTGAGTTATATGATCAAAGTTAAATAAAATTCAATTTAAAGAGGATAATACTGAGTATTGTATTTTCTTGGTAAAAATTAAAGTATTATGAAACAAATCTTGAATAAATAACTACAAATCACATATTTAATAAATTACTTGTAGAGTGAAAATTTTCCTTTGGAATCCTCTCTTCAAGGCACTATAATATTTGTATGTATGTGAAATTCTTCCCTATTCTAAATTTACCATCTCATTTCTGTTCACTTTTGTGTCCACAGAGTATCTGCCTGGAAACCCTGTTGCCTGGAGACCACTTTTACTTTTTTTTTTTTTTTTTTTTGAGACGGAGTCTCGCTCTGTCGCCCAGGCTGGAGTGCAGTGGCCGGATCTCAGCTCACTGCAAGCTCCGCCTCCCGGGTTCACGCCATTCTCCTGCCTCAGCCTCCGGAGTAGCTGGGACTACAGGCGCCCGCCACCTCGCCCGGCTAGTTTTTTGTATTTTTTAGTAGAGACGGGGTTTCACCGTGTTAGCCAGGATGGTCTCGATCTCCTGACCTCGTGATCCGCCCATCTCGGCCTCCCACAGTGCTGGGATTACAGGCTTGAGCCACCGCGCCCGGCCCTGGAGACCACTTTTGAAGAACATCCACTGCTGTGGCCTCTTAAAGATTTAAGACATCTAATGAAGAGCTGACAGAAATCATCAATTTGCTCCTCAGCAAGTAATATTTTTAAGTCACAATAAAACACTTACCTGGATATTATGTATTCAGATAATCATAATAGCTCAAGTATAGGATGCAAAGGGGAAAAATACCTTTGAAAAATTTGAATTGTACAAATCCATACAAAAGAGAGATGGGACAAAAAATAAAATCCGCATTTTCTTCATGGAAGACGCTGTCAGGTCCTCCTATTAATTATTTATTCTGATTTTTAAAACTATTCAAAAAGGCTTTATTTATATTTTGAACTCTATTGTATATTATCGTTCTCTGTAGCCCAAAGGAATTTTGAAGCAGAAATTCAACGAATGGCATAAGGATACTGGAAAAGTGGATGAAAGGAGACATGATGCAGCCAAAAGAATTCCATATCAACCTGAAGCATTCTGGAGAGGGTTCAAGAATCCAGCATATCTTAACAAGGTCCAAGTATCTCACAGTATGATGGCAGAATTTGTCACCAGTGACAGGCACCAAGTACAAATGATTATTATTTCATTTTACTCTTTGTTTTTTATTTATTTATTTGTTTTTGAGACAGGGTCTTGCCCTGTCACATTTATTTATTTATTTATTTTTGAGACAGAATCTCACCCTGTCACCCAGGCTGGAGTGCAGTGGTGCAATCTCGGCTCACTGCATCCTCTGTCTCCCGGGCTCAAGAGATTCTCCTGCCTCAGCCTCCTGAGTAGCTGGGATTACAGGCGCGTGCCACCATGCCTGGCTAATTTTTTGTATCTTTAGTAGAGATGGGGTTTCACAATATCGGCCAGGCTGAAATTATTATTATTTAAAAAATGTAGTTAAAGATTTTTTGTGGGTACATAGTAGCTGTATATATTCATGGAGTACATGAGGTGTTTTGATATAGGCATGCAATGTGAAATAAGTACATCATGAAGAATGAAGTATCCATCCCCTCAAGCATTTATCCTTTCAGTTACAAATAATGCAAGTACATTCTTTAAGTTATTTTTAAATGTATGATTAAGTTATTATTGACTATAGTCACCATATTGTGCTATCAAATAGTAGGACTTATTCATTCTTTCTTTTTTTTTAATTTTTAAAAATTTTTTTAAAATTTTTATTTATTTATTTTTATTATTATACTTTAAGTTCTAGGGTACATGTGCATACCGTGCAGGTTTGTTACATATGTATACTTGTGCCATGTTGGCGTGCTGCACCCATCAACTCGTCAGCACCCATCAACTCGTCATTTACATCAGGTATAACTCCCAATGCAATCGCTGGCCCCTCCCCGCTCCCATGATAGGCCCCAGTGTATGATGTTCCCCTTCCCGAGTCCAAGTGATCTCATTGTTCAGTTCCCACCTATGAGTGAGAACATGTGGTGTTTGGTTTTCTGTTCTTGCGATAGTTTGCTGAGAATGATGGTTTCCAGCTACATGCATGTCCCTACAAAGGACACAAACTTATCCTTTTTTATGGCTGCATAGTATTGCATGGTGTATATGTGCCACATTTTCTTAATCCAGTCTGTCACTGATGGACATTTGGGTTGATTCCAAGTCTTTGCTATTGTGAATAGTGCCGCAATAAACATACGTGTGCATGTGTCTTTATAGCAGCATGATTTATAATCCTTTGGGTATATACCCAGTAATGGGATGGCTGGGTCATATGGTACTTCTAGTTCTAGATCCTTGAGGAATTGCCATACTGTTTTCCATAATGTTTGAACTAGTTTACAATCCCACCAACAGTGTAAAAGTGTTCCTATTTCTCCACATCCTCTCCAGCACCTGTTGTTTCCTGACTTTTTAATGATTGCCATTCTAACTGGTGTGAGATGGTATCTCATTGTGGTTTTGATTTGCATTTCTCTGATGGCCAGTGATGATGAGCATATTTTCATGTGTCTGTTGGCTGTATGAATGTCTTCTTTTGAGAAATGTCTGTTCATATCCTTTGCCCACTTTTTGATGGGGTTGTTTGTTTTTTTCTTGTAAATTTGTTTGAGTTCTTTGTAGGTTCTGGATATTAGCCCTTTGTCAGATGAGTAGAGTGCAAAAATTTTCTCCCATTCTGTAGGTTGCCTGTTCACTCTGATGGTAGTTTCTTTTGCTGTGCAGAAGCTCTTTAGTTTAATGAGATCCCATTTGTCAATTTTGGCTTTTGTTGCCGTTGCTTTTGGTGTTTTAGACATGAAGTCCTTGCCCATGCCTATGTCCTGAATGGTATTACCTAGGTTTTCTTCTAGGGTTTTTATGGTATTAGGTCTAACATTTAAGTCTCTAATCCATCTTGAATTAATTTTCGTATAAGGAGTAAGGAAAGGATCCAGTTTCAGCTTTCTACTTATGGCTAGCCAATTTTCCCAGCACCATTTATTAATCTCCTTAAGCTGATAAGAAACTTCAGCAAAGTCTCAGGATACAAAATTAATGTGCAAAAATCACAAGCATTCTTATACAACAGTAACAGACAAACAGAGAGCCAAATCAGGAATGAACTTCCATTCACAATTGCTTCAAAGAGAATCAAATACCTAGGAATCCAACTTACAAGGGATGTAGAGGACCTCTTCAAGGAGAACTACAAACCACTGCTCAGTGAAATAAAAGAGGACACAAACGAATGGAAGAACATACCATGCTCATGGATAGGAAGAATCAATATCATGAAAATGGCCATACTGCCCAAGGTAATTTTTAGATTCAATGCCATCTCCATCAAGCTACCAATGAGTTTCTTCACAGAATTGGAAAAAACTGCTTTAAAGTTCATATGGAACCAAAAAAGAGCCCGCATTGCCAAGACAATCCTAAGTCAAAAGAACAAAGCTGGAGGCATCACGCTACCTGACTTCAAACTATACTACAAGGCTACAGTAACCAAAACAGCATGGTACTGGTAACAAAACAGAGATATAGACCAATGGAACAGAACAGAGTCCTCAGAAATAATACCACACATCTACAGCCATCTGATCTTTGACAAACCTGAGAAAAACAAGAAATGGGGAAAGGATTCCCTATTTAATAAATGGTGCTGGGAAAATTGGCTTATTCATTCTTTCTATTGTTTTGTACCCATTAACCATCCTCACCTTCATCTGATTCCCCGACTACCCTTCCCAGCCTCTGGTAACCACCCTTCTACTTTCTATGTCCATGAGTTCAATTGATTTGATTTTAGATCCCACAAAAAGTGAGAATATGCAAAGTTTGTCTTTCTGTGCCTGGCTTATTTCACTGAACATAATGATCTCCAGTTCCATTCACGTCCCCGAATACAAATTAATACATGGTAGAAGCTGTGTTCTGTTGAAGAAGTTAGGAACATATTCAGGCTATATTTTGCATTTTTGAAAGATGGTTAAAATACTTTTAAAATGTTTATGCTGAAAGGAGAAAGTTCTGTGAACTAGAAAATTTGTATGAATTTAAACATAACTCAGAGATGAAATCTGAAAGAAAACAAGGCCCCTCTTTGCTCAATTTTATTGTTTTGATGCTGTTAATCACACTTGATGCCTCATGGTCACCAAAGTAAAGTAAATTATTTTGAATTAACATTCCCTCCAAAACTTGTTATCCCCAAGCATGCAAAAAGTAAAAAGCAATAAAAGCCCAAGTTGCAAAGAAAGATGTGCTTCTACAAGAGAATTTGGAGGCTGCTGGAAGATGGTGCAGTCCAGAGAGCTTAAGATTGAGCTCTGATAACAGACAGACCTAAATTTCTGCCACATTTCACAATGTGGCTGTGCATTGGCTGCTCAATCTTGCTAAGCTTCAATATTTTTGTGTAAGAAAAATAATACGTATTTATTGTACCTAAAGGTTGTTAAGAGAATTAAATAAGTGTGTGTATATAACCAGAGTGCCTGGAACATTAAATGCTTAATGCACATTAGCTATTACCCTTATCATTATTATCAAGTTAAATTAAGCCAATATAATCATAAAGTTGGAGACTGAGTTTATGAGGGCAGTGGCAGAGCCACATAGCTAATCATGAGCTGCTGTTTAACAAAATGAAAGGAAGTTACTGTTTACATAACACCAGAGAAAGAGGACATTTTGGAGAAACTAGGTTAATATAAAAAAACAAAAAAGGTTTTTAATGCTTTTCGTAAGTGTGAGAGAAGAAATTGAGATAACATGGCATTAAGGAACTATTTAGTCTTGGGAGATACATAAAATCAAGGTACTGCCCCACTTTTGCCCTTTTTCTGCTTTGTTAATCCTTTATTGAGATATAATTCACAGCAGTACAATATATACATATTAAATATGCTACATGATGAATTTTATGATTTTATGTATATGCCCATGGAACTATGACCACACCAACATATAGCATGCATCCAGCATCTCAATAGGCCCCTGGTGCCCATTACAGTCAATTGACCACCCATTTCCCAAAGGTAATCACTCTTCTGTTGATGATAGGAAGGTTTGGATTTCCCTCTTAATCTAGAAAAGGGGCCTTTGAGAAATTTGATGTCCTCTTTCTTTTCCCTAGCTAGACTTTAATTCTCACCCATTAATTTTACTTTAATTCTAGGTCATCATGCCTCTAGCCTACAGTCATGCTCTCATCGACATGCCCCTGCTTACTTTATCTGCACTGTGATGTTCTTCTGACATGTAGGGGGTTTTCTCTTCACTATTATGTTAATG